ACGTACAGTATTGTACTGTTAAAACAAAGTGGTATTGTTTGACCCACACTAGACATAAATACATCACAATTCCCACAAAGCAGTGTCCAGCACTGCCAAATTACTAAATTATTTGAACGCATACCGGTACTTTGTTCACCTTTACAGAAACTCAAATTGATTACTTGATAATAAAAAAACAAAACAACAAACAACAAACAACAACAAAACATGCATTAGCCCTCAACAGGTAATGCCTTGGTCAACAATAAATAAAACAATACCCCCTATCAAAACAACAAAAAAAACACAAAAAAGACAATACTTGGCGCATACATGTACATGTACATAAACTCCTTCTAATGAATACTGTACGGCCATTAAGTCCAAAGAAAAAATTGTACATATTTACGCCGTGTGTATGTACAATAGTCAGAGCATTACAACAACAAAAAATGTAATAACACCATTGTATTTTCCTGATAATTTCTTGTAGATCAAAATTTAAAAAAATGCAATAGCTCAGAAGCAGTGCAAATTAGAAGGAAAACAAAGACGCTCTTTTGTTTTGAATAATTCAAAAACTCCAAAACATTATCCATCTCTCAATGACAAATAAATCAAAATTGGTCCAATTTTTTTTCTCAAAGGATGCAGTAGTGCTGTGCATTTGCCAATTAATTAAGTACCCAATTATTCAAACTTTTATTGATCGAGTATTCGAATATTCGTAACATGCCGGTCAAGTTGTACATCACCCTAAAATGCGTATACCAGTCGACAATCGCATGAGGCAGTTTTGGAAACTGCTGGTTGAAAATTGCGAGCTTTACAAAATATTAAGAACATCATGTGCGTGACCTTTTTTTTAACGAGGTAGTCGACTAGCTGATGTTTCAAAGATTTTAAAGATGATACTTTGAGCTTATATTCGTCACGGACACTTTCAAATCATGCGTGTTAAGTGAACGCGGCATATGACGAACAAAACCATGTAACCTATGCGACATAAAAACACCAGATGCTTTTCTTCATATTCTTGACACCGCATATTTTTTGAATATTCGAATCAGAAAAATGCCATTTGAATTTTGGTGGATGAACGAATATCCGGATATTCGGAATATTTGGCACAACCCTAGCAAGCACTTTACAGGCTGAATAGCCACTTGCATCTACACTCGACAGAATATTACCGAAAATATCAGGAATCATATCTTACTGGCTAGTGCAAAAAAAAAATCACTGTCTTTTTGTTAAAGACTACCAAATATCTCTGAAGTGCTCATTAATTTCTCATATTCAACAAATTCCTTCTTCAACAACACGCAACCAATAAATTAATTTCATTATTAAATAAATTTTGTTGTAAACACAAGTAAATATATCATAAATTACAACTACATTATTCAGAGCTATACAAATATCATTCGGTAATAAATATATTTGATCAGATAGAAAACTATTTTTGTTTATAAATAACTATTTTAAAGTGATTTTTATAAATAAATGTTTTGATCTCTGTATTAAGAATTGTTTACTTCGAGATATAACAAGTAAATTGTGCGACAGATACAGATATACTACAGCTAGGGCCATTCTATAAATTTGAGGTCCACATTTGTTCCTGTTCCTGTTACATCCGACGCCTATGATTTTATAATTCTGATGCACTTCTCAATCGTAACTCCCGAGCATGATTTACTAGGAACCATACCCATCCTGGCAAATTCCAACACCATATGGGAAACTGCACACACATATTTCTGACTTTGATTCTGGAGGTGTGCCAACCCAATGTAAAAGACTGTCAGTTTAGGGGTACTGTACCCATCCTGACAGATTCCAACCAAACATGCCGTTGGGGTTTGGTGGGTTGAGTTCTGTTACTAGGGTTAATGCAGTCGTCCTCCAAGAGTGATTATGAATAGCAAACTACCTACCCAACAAATAAACACAATCATTTGAAGTCATTCTTAATGATACTTGAATGGCAAATTACAAAGTACCAAGGTAACAGGGACAGGAAAAATGTCACACTTCGGATCCTAAATTTATAAAACGGCCCAGCTATATACTGTGTAACATGAACTACTATGTGCCCGGTCACTTATTTATTATTGCATTTCAGATTTCAATGAAACTGCTATAAGTGTTTTATTGGTTGAATAACAACTAGTTTTAATTCCTAGTGAGCGTGCTTCAAATTGGAGCAGGAAATACCTACTACAAACGGAGAAAAAACTATGTATATCTCGATCCAATTATGGACAAAATGTTCGGCGCGTTACAACGAATGCATCTTTGTCACGTCGAACGGAGTGACGCGCAGTCAGCCATATATACATATATGCAAATTGCGCACAGGCGCGGACAAGCCGCTCGAAATGTGACGCTGTGAAATATAGTCATTAAATGAAGGAAAAAACCTGAATGTCATGTTGCTCAAATTTGAAGGCACACGTGCCGTGAGTTTTTTGAAAAATCATTGCAGTTTGATTACAAACAAACCTTATCTACACAAAATACAATATAATAATAATAATAATTTGGGAGGCTAATCATCCTTACTCGCAGCTGGTATGCTGAATTGCGAAGGACGCGGCTACAACGTGGTCGGGCCGCTGGCACGTAAAGGCGCCTATGGCTGCCGGCCACATCGACCCATATATGACCACGGAGCACAGCCTGAGATCGAAAGTGTTTGATTTTTCTGCAATCTTCAAGTTTTGTGCACGCCTATATTCGAAGGCAGTTCACACATACATCTAGACTCATAGTTGTCACAAACGATCATATTTACATAACTATGATACATCTTGACCATTAAGCAAACTTGTTCAGTTGGTAAAATCTCAGAGATTCTAGAAAAATTCTTCACCAAAAAATAATTACCAACACACAGTGATGATTGGTCTACCATGTGCAAAAGCTTCATTTTCAAATTGAATTTACAAGAAACTTTTAATTTGCTACATTTTTGTTATATTGCCCACTGCGAGTGTCTTTTTCAATGTGCAAAAGTTTGATTAAACATCACACCAAAATAATCAAATTAATTAAATTTTCAAATAAACTAAGATTTCTTAATCTACTTTATTGCACTTTACACTTATTTTGTTCACACGTTCAAAATATCTTCATATAAAGTATCTATATGTACACTGCCGAATCGGAAATGTCTTCAGCTTTCTGGTTTTATTGGAATGCTGTTGTTATTGATGAAAACCACACTTTTAGACCGTGCATGACAAGATCTAAAAACAAAATGTTTCCAAGGTAAAACAATTTACCGTTCTGAACCAAAATATATAAAAAAAAAAAATATAAGGAACAACTCAGGTTGACTCAAAATACAATTTGGTTTCACAGACAAACTTTCTGCATTATTTTTTCTGTTGCAAAGACTCCGCGAGTCATTTTGAATGACCGATACAGTCAGAATTTTGTCGTAGTTGCTCCTTTATTCTTTAAACATCAAACTTTCATGTACAGTGGAACGTCGCTATACCGAACACCGCTATACCGAACATTCGGCTACACCAAACATCAGCCTTGGCCCCCGATCTTTGTGTACAAAGCGTATCAAACATTGTTGTTGAAAAATGTCAACAGAAGAGTGACAAGTGACTATTATTTATTCATAAGGTGGAATTTTTGCGTCAGGGTGATGTAAATCAAATTAGGTTTTGTCCTTCACCGTTGTATAAACACTGTATGACTATTATTTCCCCAAGGAATAGAAGGGGAAAGCCACCCATTGCTGTCGGTAGTAAGCTCAAAAACCGCGTAATTGCATAATTCAATTGTCGGCAAGTGTTCAAAGTCGTCTTTCAGTAACAACCAGGGTAAGCAGGTTAAAGTTCTGAAGGGTGCTATTTATTGAAATGTGAGTACCAAGCACCAGCAGCTAAAATCGCAGCACCGAATGATCGCTATTACAAACATTTTCTGTGGATGCCGCGATGTTCGTTATACCGAAGTTCCACCGTACTTAAATTGAAATCTTTAAAACAATAATTTGGTTTGACGGCTGTCCGAAACGTGTGACCATTTTCTTCACGTGCGTACCTTACCAGAAAGTACTACTTAAATTTTGAGGAGAAATCAACAATTAAAAGATGGTTAAATACAACTTCTCCACACCAAACAAAATGTTTTTCTTGTTCTCTTAAGCCACAAAAACTAAAGGCCAGTAAAATTCTCCCGGTATGTACAAACAACGGATTTATATAACACAGGATTCTCTCGGAAATAAATGTTCTCTTCTTTAATATGTTACAGTTAAATATACAAACTGATATGTGCATTTCTCTTGTACGACGAGCGCACACATGCTAATACTGTTTACACACTTGTATGATGCTTGTGTTTCAAATGATTTTTGCGATCTTAGGAAACCACGTCTACGTGGCTTCGTTTGTTGTTCTCTCACGTTGCATTCAGAACTCGCGGGGAAAACACCATTCCACTTAATTTCAATACGTTCAACGATTACGCACAGTCGTTCAAAATGTCTGCACCCACGACGCATCCAAAAGTATTCTCCGTGAGAAAGAGAAGTTAGCGCTTTAGTAGCTCAAAACAGTTCTACGATTTCATTTCAATAACATCTCTCTCTTTCGACACTTGTAGTAAGCCAAGTGTTGAGCATGTATCAAATATAGATTCAAAAATAAGTGCAATTTTGCAGCCAAAAACTAAACGCTTCATTCCATCACGTTTAAATCACTCAAAAATATTATTTTTCCCTGTTCATTTTTAGCACAAACAAATAAATACAGTGTGAAAAATATAAAATACTTTTGAGGCAGGAGTTTCTGTGTAAATCTCAATATACTCAAAGTCATGTAATATTTAACAAATGTACTTCAAGTAATTTTTGTCAGATTTTAAGCAGACGTGCTTCAATATGCAAATTTATCGTCTGTGACCTTTTTATCTTACAAAAGTTTCTTTAAAAAGAAATCCATTTCTTTGATTTCTGACACAAAGGAAAACTCTTCTGCTTTTGTTCTCTGAATTTTTACCGACAGAACTGTGAAAATATTGCAAATTTACGTCTTTAATGAGAAAAAAATGAACCTCAGCTGGTCAAGCCATCGTGCACATTACTATTGGGCCATATCGAACCTTGGGAGTCTGTGACTAGACTAGTCAGTGTCTGGTACCAAGACTTCACACACAACGTGAGCTGGTGAGACTTGCACGCTCTATACAGTGTAAAAGCCAGTGTATACTTTACGCGAAAGCAAACACAAATTTGTGAAGTCAAGACAATTTTATCTCGCTGTAAACTCACAAAAGTTGAACACATTTTAACTCCGGCAAATTTTGCAGCGACTTTTTGTGACGTCAAGTCGGCTTCGCACTCGTACGTACGGGCCATAATAATAAATACTGACGGTTGATACATATACTGAAGTTTTGAAGAGTGCAGTAATGCAAGGACTAAAAATGTAACTAGAAAAAAAAAAAGAATTAAAAGCTTTATTGGCAATTTGTGTTCATGTTCCTTAACTTTTATAAGACTTAAATAAGACAAAAAGTAGTAATACCGTTGCACTTAACAGATTGAGTTGACCTCCGGCCCCAGTTGACCCCATGTGACCTTTGACCCGTTATTCCACTGTCCCCTGGTAGCCAAGTTTGTTTCCTTTGTTGACCCACCGGTGACGAATGCAGCTGACTATCCGCGCGTCGTCTTCGTCCAGGTCGTGGTAGTGAAGGTTGTCCAGTGTCTCGTAGGCGCCGATCTTTCGACCGGTCTGTTCGTAAAAGACAAGGAGCTCGTAATCGAGTCGGCTGCGAATGTTGGGCAAGTTCAAGCAAGGACCAGTGGTTACCTAGTGGTTGGTTCGTGACGTATCTAGCGCATGCGCACTGAAGTTGAAGTGGGAACGACTCTAGTCGAACTATGGTGACCAGCTCCACAAAAAAGGGTATTAAGTTGCATTGAGCATTATTGTGTAATGGCCTTTTCAACATTGAGAGGGTGAACATTTTTTGTCAAAATGTGATTTTCATTTTTTGTCATAAATGACATCTTTAATACCTACAGATTCAGGTTTCATTTACAGAAATGTTGATTTTGATGAACAAAAAGGAAAACAACAACCATTTTGTGTGCATCATTCTGTTGTTCTACCACAAAGCCTGCTATTTCAAAGCCCGTTTTCTCAGTTGTGTAATTTGAACTCCAAGGAAGTAATGAATATGCAAATACGTCATATATCCAGAACGGGAGGGGCTATGGAGCTCTATTATATACCAAATGAAAGCTTACATTGTGGGCTTTCCAACCATGTATATAACTCAATTTCACTTTATTTGCGACATAATACCCTTTATTGTGGAGCCGGTCACATTGTCATGTCAACTACCGTCACAAAATGGCGGTCGCACAATTATTCAACACTTGTTGTTTCTCTTTATTTACACACTAATAGTGATTGTGTATAGTTTAGGACATCTTACACAATCGCCAATATTATTGTACAATGGTGACAAAAGTGACATAATGGTAAACTAACATGCAGAGATGAAAGTGGCCTTGGCAAACCAAATCTGAAATTGCGTTGGTATGTTTGGCAAAGTTTGCGGTAATCAATGGCTCAACACCGTGTGGTTGTTCTTGTTTCTACCTACAACCTTTAGTTTGAAATTATTATGAAAAAACAAAACGTTTTGTGGAAAAATCGTTAAATAATCATTTTTTTGTGGAATCGTTAAAAAAATCTGGAACCCCACTGGAAAAGTTTCAAAAAATCTGCTGTCAGATTAAAATCTGAAAGGTTTCATCTCTGAACACGGAAAAACTGTGCAATGAAAATGACATTTAGCGTTCACAGTTTCGTTTTCCGCCATTTGTGTTGATAGTTGGTCCCCTCTGCACCATGCTATGGAAATTGCTATTGATAACCAGCTATAAATCGTTGCGCGACCAGCCGCGGCAGGCTGGTTCCAAATAGTCGACTAGCGTAGTCAACCATCGTCGACTAGACAGAGTTCCGGACTAACTTAGTCGCACTATGGTTAACGATAGTTCTCGCGCGAACTTTTTCAACTTTTTTTCAAACTACCCTCATCCAAAGGGGCCTAGAAAATAAATTGCGACCAACTTTTTGACAGACTTGATTACTTCTTGAGACTACTTTTACCTCTATCATCCACGTGGCAAACTTGCTGGTCCAATTGTTGGGTCTCTCGATGTGCAGGTAGCTGTTGAACAGGATCAGGTAGATGTAGCGCTCCAGGAAATTGAAGCTCTGGTTGCCGAGTTTGGCGGCCGTCTCTTCATCTTTGGCCAATTTTATCTGAGGAGATGCAAAGGAAAAAGTGAATTTGACATCACTAAACATTTGCGGGAGTTCAAGGAGTTCAACTTTTGCAAATTCATGGTGTAACTACTTTATTAATAATTAATTAGACATAATTCCAAAACCTCTTTAACCTCTAGTCATGAAATTTATTGGGTATGTTCATATTAAAGAGAATGTACAACATTTGCTTTTGCTGCAATTATCAGAAATAAATGGATTTGGAGGATTAGTATGTTATAGAAAATATTGTTAACATGACTTGTTTCACGTTTTGGGCTTGTAGATGCTGAAAAAACCCAAGAAAACCAACCATGTTCTTGTAGTCTGGTTCCCTGACCCCACTAAAGATGAAACGGAGCAATTTGTAGACTTTGGGGAATTGCAAGGTCAGAGAATCAGTCTAGCAGGCTTGTACCCCTTCACAGGTGTGTAATCAATTGCAAAGAAAATGCAGAATAACTAATTATGAAAAATTAGGGGCAGTTTTTGACAAAAAGCCAGTTTTCTCTAACGCTGGTTGGCCGACCAGCGTTGGAAAAATACCATTTTTCTTGAAAATAACAGCACACCAGGAGCCACGATTTTACAGGATGCTTTAGACTGTCATTCCCTAACAATCCAGTGAGGTATTTCATGATAATTTGATCATTTTGTGTTCTGATGTTTGCAAATGTTGTATCTTCCCTTTAAGTTGTTCTATGCATGCACCGAGTTTCATAATTTTTCTTCAGTTGATGGTCGAGACCTGAGGGAGGAATCTGAATTTGAACCCTCCTTGAAGACTAGGAGGGTTTTTAGACGGACTCACCTTGTTGTAAGTCGAAAAGATTGTCTCTCGTTGATGGTAGTGCATCGGGGTCATCGTTTCCGAGCATTTGTCTAGCATCAAATCCACCTCCCGTTTGACCTGTGGCCCTGAGGGCAGCCTCCGCACCAGATTCATCACGACCTGTTACCATAGAAACGGCATCTTTAGAGTTATGTTTTTGGACACATGTAAGAGTTCTATCAGCAAAACGAAAAACAGTTCACACACATCCTTATATGATTTGTTTTCGTTTTGCTGAAAGAACACTTTTTTTGTGATCCATGGACATTTAAATATAAAACTGGTCAAAATTCTGTAACTTGAAAAGTACATGAGTGATTTGAATGATTCTTGTACTAAAAGAAAGCTTATGAATTGGGCTTTCATATCCTAGATTTTGAAAGTGCTACATGCAGAACTTCACTAAGACAGTGGTCCTGACATTTGGGTTTCGTTTTTTTCCCCGCTCACCCGGTACAGTGATCGATAGCACAATGCTAATTCACCACTGAAGGGGGCCTTCATGATAGAATTGTTATTGCGTCAATCCAAAAATGTTTTTGCTTCTTCATCATCAGACAACACTTTGGCCCGAAGGACTATTTCTTGAGACTAACTTACCGCAAACTCTCCTTTAGTGTATTCAGCCTGCGGCACGCTGATTCTCTCCTGTTCCTCTAACTTCACTCCAACGGGAAAACCCTGAAATAAAATTCAATAAATACAAGAGACAAGCATGAATAGAAATTTGATCTCTACACTCAAAAGGTCTCCATTTATTATTCAATTATCTAATGGATTTTCAGGGTCAATCTGCTCCGTTCACAAATACCCCCTCACCGGCAAAGCAAGTACAGTTGGGGGTGACCGACCGACGCCATCTTGCCTGACTGCAAGTCATTGCCGCGAAGCGCGGCCACTGCGTGTACATAGTACAAATCCCCTGGTGTACGTGCGTCACAAACAAGGAACGGTGCGCGTCAACCAGCGAAATGTCCCGCCCACGGGACGTCGTTGCTAGGTAAAAGGGCGCCCTCTTTGCTGGCGCACGGAGCCCATAGTATACAAATAATGAATGTTTATGAGTGCAAGGGTGAGAGTATTTTCAAGAGTTGAAGGATGGAATGTTGCATTCAACGAGGCGAAGCCAAGTTGAATGGAACATTGCATCGTTCAACGAATGAAAATACTCTCACCATTGCACGAATGTAAAATATTCATTATTTGTTTTATATAACATCCAAGTAGATCTTTGTCATTCAATTAGAGGATAAAACTATAAGAATAATTAAAATTTACAAAATTATATTCTGGCATCCACTGTTTTTTTCCCAGCTTGCTCAAAGTTGAAAAAAAAGTCAAAACATTAACAATTTGAAAGTTAATACTGTAAGTTCTTCAAACAATGCAAAAAAATCTGCAAGGCAAGTTCAGTTCGTAACGATGCATCTACATGTACTTTAACGGGAAGTTCAGTTCGTAACTCATCCAAGTTTCAGGGTTTAGGAATGGCCGCTGTTAACGAACTTTGCCTTTGTCTCGGTACATTAACTGCGGCTATCCCCCAACCCGGTCATTAACACGCAGTGAAGACCAAAGATCCTATGAGCTCCGTGCGCTACCAAAAGAGGGCGCCCTTTTACCTAACAATGACGTCCCATGGGCGGGACATTTCGCTGGTAGACGCTCACTGTTCCTTGTGTGTGACGCACATACACCAGGGGATTTGTTCTATTTACACGCAGTGGCCGCGCTTCGCGGCAAATGAATTGCAGTCAGGCAAGATGGCGTCGGTCGGTCACCCCCAACTGTACTTCCTTTGCCGGTGAGGGGGTGCTTGTGAACGGAGCGGATAGCGCACGTTCAATTGATCAAAAGGGGCGGAATGGAAATGCACAGTGAATGGAACCAAAATGCACGGTTATGACGTAGGCCGTGCAACGGTTCGATTAATGAATGCCGCGTGACCTTCAATCCTCCAATCAAATGTCAAGGATTTGCTTGGGTGTTACATAATTCAAGCTACTTTACAAGGGTAATCACAATGTTGTTTGGCTATGTTTGAATGAGGAACAATGTGGAATATGAATTTGTTTGACCGAAAAATGTCGATTTTTTTGTAGAAAAACTACAGCTTAGAGCAAGATCTCAGAGCCGAGGGGTCCAAGACAACCGCCAACCTTTTGATGCCAGATGACGAGGCCGGCTGCGGCCATGAAGACCGTGGTTCTCTCTTTACCGCAGTCGCAGTTGAAGACTAACGCCGGGCCGTCCTCGTCCGTGTAGATGTCCTTGAGATCCTTGATGACGTTGACTAAGAAATCAAACTCCTGAACAACGAAAAGAAAAGAACAAAAATGATGAAGAAACAGTTTGTTTAAATATTTTGTTTATGCACTGAAGCGGATATGTCACTAGACTGGGATATAATGACCAGGCTTGGGCGATATTTACGTTATACCAGGGTTCGACCTTAGCGTTAGTCCGCCCGCCAAAATGCGAGTAAAAACAGCGGCAGACAAGTCAAAACCATTCCCTTAGGGGTGCACGCCAGTAAATAGGTCTAAACCAATTCGCTGAGCTCATGAATAAAAGTTATACCCTCAAACTTTTCTACATTAGAGAGTTTTTTGAGAATTGGGGAATTGAAGAGATATGGCATTGAACCTCTGGCCCGGACTTGGGGCTTTCAATTCCGAGCATTTTGGATGCTATTGGGCTCGAAAGTGGCACTATTTTGCCATGTTGTGGAGGGATCCTTTTTCAAGGTGGCTACTTTTCCGAATTGGGGAGAACTAGGGGTCGTCTTCTTAGGGTGAGAATTTGTTGAAAAGTCAATGGTCAACCCAACAAAAGTTGAAGACAAAAATGTTGATCATCAATTTTCTGTGCAGCTGAAATACCTGTTCTGAGTATTTTTCTAAAGAATTTTGAAACATGGGTATTTAGCACTAGTGTCTATGGGAATTTTAATACAGGATTGCCCCCTTGGTAGTCCGTCTGGTCATGGGCGTCACGAGGCCCCCCCCCCCCCCCGAAAAAAAAAAAAAAAGAAAAAGAGGAAAAAAAAAAGGAAAGAGAGGTGCGAAGCCATATTGCTGTTAATTTGATGGGGGAGGGGGGGGGGGGGAGGGTAATTCCTCCCTCGCTCCCGCTCGGAAAAATGATATTTTGAGAATATAATGAAAAAGTTAAGGAGTTTTGCCCAAAATTTGCTTCGCCCCCCCCCCCCCCCCCCGGAAAAAATCCTGGCAACGCCCATGCGCCTGGTCTGTTAAAATTATTGTAATCAGGCTTGCCAGTTTCCCAGGTATCCACGGAAGTTTTTAAAAAGCGGGTCGTGGAAAAATTAATCTGACACTGACGCGCACTTGGCTTGTTTCATGCTGTGGTGCTGTGGAATCTTGCCCCGAGATTGCTAGTGTATAAAAGCAAGAACATCGCCTGGCTCTGCGTTTTGTATAGGTATAAAAAAGCGCGAAAAAGTACAAGACACAAGACGCCGTACGCATTCCTTTTTATGAATGAGCGTGTCGCAATAGCGCCCTCTATTCACTCTGGGCTATTAGTCCGATTCTATATTTTTTTTCACATGCATGAATGCGTCGGATACAGACAGCACTGCACGTACAAAACTCCTTGACAAATCACGGCCAACATAGTGTAAACTGGTCGAAGTTGACATCGCAAAAATGTTATGAAAACATCGGCGGGGGGGGGGGGCAAAGTCCAATAAAAAACCACTCGCAGACTAGTGGAAACTCCCGCAGACTAGTTAAGGCCAAAAAAAAAAGTCTCCGGTTTCTGGTATAGAGCTTACCCAAAAAGTGGTGCGGCGACGCGGCTTTTTTTTTTTTTTACCTGATTTTTTTGCTTCAAATGTCGGCTGATGACTGCAAATGGTGCCCGACTAAACTTAGTGCAAATATATGGGAGTCCAGAGAGGCCACATAAAGCTTATTCTCGACCATAACCCAATCTAAAAACACGTTAAAATTGTGCAGCAGCAGGATTCCAGTCAAACCAGTGAGTTTGGCGGTTTTGAGACATCATCTTTCATTGAAAAAAACCTTTTTCATTTTGCCGACGCGCATGGCTACGGCGACGCGCGCGCATACCAGAAACCGGAGACATTTTTTTTTTGGCCTAAGAGTCCGTTTCACGAGTCCGGCACACTAGTAAAAAAAAAGTTAAGTGCAAACCCTGAATACTGTGTAGTCACAATATTTTTTGTGACTACCGACGACAGACACATGATTTTGCCGACAGAATGACAGAATGAAAACACCCTCTTCTAGTGATGTCCATGATATTTTTTTTTGGGTGGTTCAATTGCCGATTGAGGCTCTGAATGCCGATTGAAAAGAACCCCCCCCCCCTTCACCCCCTAGTTACTACGGCACTGTACGCAGACTTACTCTTTCCGGGGGCGAGCCCTCATACTCCATGGCCGCAACTCGGTGGTAGTGCAACTCCGGCGTTATTTTGCATTGATTTTCAAACATTTCTTGCAGCGTTACAATCGTAGAGAACTCTTTGGTTATTCTGGGATCTGTGATATCCTCATAAACCTGTTAACAAAAGGTAAAGCAACAAAATGTCTGTAAAAAAAACAATCAAAATCCCCTATTGCAGACCAATATTTGCTTTTAAAATTTGATGTGGTCCTTAACCAGTTCGAGTCGGGATTATTTTGACAAGAACGGAACGAGGCGCGGGATTACTTTTCACTCGACCTCAAGCCAGGCGGGTTGAAGCCATCATCCTCGGGCAGCACACTCATATTTCCGGCCTCGCTCGCTGCGAGCGGGTTGCTGACAGATATTTCCCAGCCTCGCTCCCTGCGTGTTTATCTGTCATCCGTTCCGAATACAGCGAAACTTTTGCGTGTACACATGGCCTCCGGCGCAAACTGGTTAACAGAATCCAAGTATCGTAAAGCAATTATAAATAATTAATATCAATAATTTTTTAACTATAAGTAGACACAAATATTTTTGGGGTCAAAATCTCACCTGGACTGGTCCATTCAACTTGAGAAATTCATTCTTCAGCTGTCTTTCGCGATCCTGAAAAAAACCCAACCAAAATACATAAATTGCAAAAAATATATTTCCAATTTGGGCTTTTAATAAATAAATTAAAAATGGACAAATTCCACACTGACCATTTTTCCTAAACAGCTAACGGTTTCAGTTCTTATCTGCTATGTGAGTGTTGAAAGCAGACGATCTTGGACACTAGTGGACCACAGGTGGCGCCCTTTGTTGCGGCATATTTTTCGACAGACACACGTTTTTTCTGGACATTTTATTTTGCTGACAAAACTGATTAACTTTAAAACCCCACTTCTGATTTCATTTTCTGAATTTTGTGAAATGTAACTCGTGACTCGGATGATTGGACTCTGTATTCGTGACTCGGGACTCGGACTTGACCCACATGACTCGTGGCTTGGACTCGACCTCAATGACTCTTGACTCGAACTCAAAAAATGTGTGACTCGTTACTCGGACTTGACCCAAATGACTCGGAACTTGAAACTCGACCCAAATGACTTGTGACTCGGACTTGGACTCGACCAAAATGACTTGAGACTCGGACTCAACCTCGTAGACTCGTGATTCGTAATCAAACTTTGTGACTCGTGACTCCGTCTCGACCCAAATGACATTTGACTCGGAATTACACTCGACCAATATGACTCGTGACTCGTACCCGAACTCCATGACTCGGGAAGCGAACTCAAAATATGTGACTCGTGACTCAGTCTTGACCCCATTGATCTGTGACTCGGACATGGACTCAACCAATATGACTCGCAACTTGGACTTGACCAATATGACTCGTGACTCGGACTCCTCCTCAATAACTCGTTACTTGAACTCAAAATTTGTGACTCAAAAATTTGTGACTCGTGACTCAGACTTAACCGAAATGACTCGCGACTTGGACTCAACCAATATGACTCGTGACTCGGACTCCTCCTCAATAACTCTTTACTTGAACTCCAACTTTGTGACTCAAGACTCAACTTGATCTAAACAACTCGCAACTCAGATTTGACACTCAGACTCGGACTCAAGGTTTGATGACTCAAATACGAGCCTGCACCCAGCCTGACTTCCATATGATTGACTTGAGACACAGAAAATCATACCTCGAGTTCTTCAACAGTGATTCCCGGTATGAACACGTTCCGCGTGAGCGATTTGAGCTTTCTCGGCGTGTATGTAGCTCCGTCGCATTCCAGTACCATCTCCCCTCTCAGCGTGAAGATATGGACCGAAGAATGCGTGTACTTCTCCTTTGTCAGGTACTGAACTACTTTGGATAAACCCTGGCGAAAAAAAAGCAGGAAAACAATCAACATGTGACTTGTCACTGCAAAAGGAGCTTAAATTGTCCATGAAATTAATTTTTCTGAGGAACACATCTTGTACTCCTGAGAAAGCAATATTGCAGAATCTCGATTTCAATTTCAAAAATTGGCGAGTCGTGTTTTGCGTTGTGCCCGAAATCAGACAGAATAAGGAACACGTTCTCATTCAGCCGATTGCAGCTAAGTGACGTCGCGCACTGAACCGATGAAACATAGCAACCGTGTGCGCATGTGTATCACGTCAATGCCTGCGCGCACCCATTCACAGATTTGACTCATTACAAACCAACTACTATTGGAAATCTAAAAATATCTCCGTTTTTTAAAATTCTGACTTCAATGTTTTTTTTTAAAGGGGAAGGAACACTAGGTCTAGTATCCGGACTTACCTCTCTGCAAGGTTGTGCCATGCCAAACACCGGTAACCCGGGGACCCGTCTAAAGTTGGCTACTTTGACCTCTCGGTGCGAGCTCAGCACGTCCAGACCGAGATACTCATCTGCAACCTGTGTCAAATTTGAAGGAAAAAAACCCCAAGATTACCACAGACAAATTCCTCAGATTTCCCAAGACTTCAGGATGATGTATCAGAATACCAGGTTCCCACAGATAACTTAAAATGAAATTCCATGAATTTTCCCAGGACAAAACTAAGGCTTTCCATGACCAATTCCTACGCTGTTTCGGCATCTTAGGAGCCAATTTACAATACACTGGCCAGTCATCACACTGAGGCAAGGGACACCACTCCCTTTCAGCCTTCCAGTTTGACACAAGACCACTGAGCACCACAAAAGCATCAGAATGGTGCATTAAACATGCAACAAGAATAGAGCATGCATGCATAAAGAGGAAGTATAGTAAACTGGAATGCAAACTGGAAGACGGTCATAGCCAAATACTACGCATCATCATGCATGGGTTGAAAAGGATTCCATGACCGTTTTTCTTAGAATATCAACTTTCCATGACTCTCGTAAAAAATCTCAAAAATTCCATGACTTTTACACAACTTTCCATGAAAATTTTTAAACTCCAGGATTTTTTCAGAATTTTCCATGACTGTTGCAGCTGACGACGTCACTTCAAATTGGACCAATAGTTCTGTAGATATATGCAATAGAAAAAATACCCCTTTAACCCTAACCGCCCCGAATCCTTCAAAATCCTCTTTGCCAAAGTGGAGGAATTTGGAGGATTGAGGTTACATGGCCAAAGTGCGTTACTGATTTCATAGGATGCACTTTGTCAAGGACTTGGGCCAGACCTTGTGTTGTTTTTGCTCAGCCTTGCACAAATATAGGCCTGGATTATGCTTGAAATCCTCTGTACTGCTCCAGGATGTCACTGGCCGAGCCTCAACATTTTGACAATCACTGTCGCAGGATTTTGCAGGATTCAGGCAGTGGTCACCCCTCCATGGACCATATTCAAGAAATAATGGAGGAATTTGCAGGATTGAGGCTATATATGCTTTTTTTCCACGAGGCCAATTGGAGGATTTTGCAGGATTGAGGCTACATCCTAGCAAAAAGGCCTAGGGAGTTAAGGTTAACGTGGTGGCACATGACGTCACTTAAACTATAACATATCCCTGTCTACGTACCTACACATTTTCGACCCAATCTGACTTGTCCTACAGAAGATATAAGGCTTTGAAAAATATGCACCTTTAAGCCTAACTCCCTAGCATAATTTACTAGGAACCATACCCATTCAGGCAAATTCCAACACCAACATGGGAAATTGTACACACACACTGTTGGACTTTGTTTCTGGAGGTATGCCAACCCCAGTGTAAAAGACCATCTGTTTAGGGGTACTGTACCTATCCCAACAGATTTTAACAAAACTTGCTGTTGAACTTTGATGGGTTGTGTTCGGTTAGGATTAAAGGGAATGTACATCTTTGGCTTTTGCTGTAATTTTCAGAAATGAACTATTTGAGGGGTTAGTACAATAGATCAAAGTTTGTTATACTGACAAGTTTGAAGTTTTGTGTTCGAAAATGCTGGAAAAACCAAGAAAAACAAAAATGTTCAAGTAGTCTGGCTCCCTGACTCCACTAAAGATGAAATGAATCAATTTATAGATGCCGGAAAATTGTAAGATAGGGAAACCAGTCTAGCTGGCCTGCACCCGTTTATGAACATGTAACCAATAGCAAACAAAATTTGGACTGAAAAAAATGGTAAATTTGGAGTAGTTGAAAAATAGTTAGGTTTTTCCAACGGTGGTCAGCTGACCACCATTGGAAATTTATACAAAATACCACTTTTCTTGAAAATGACTTCACACCAGGTGCCATAATTTTACAGGATGCTTTAGACTTTCATTTACCAACATCCTAGTAAGTTATTTCGTAAAAATGTGGTAGTTTTGTTTTCCAATGCTTGCAAATGTTGTATATTCCCTTTAATGTGAAACCCCCCCCCCCCTTGGATACATGTGACTGACCAGTGAACAATGAGTAGAAATCAACAAGAAATTTCTCCAAAAGCCCCACTCACCAGGAATCGATTGCCCATTGCGAGGTGCATTCCCGGGGTGTTGTCCTTCTCAAATGAGTCCATATCGCCAAGGATTCGATAGAGTATCGGATGTTGCTGCATCCAGACCTCAAACGACTGGCAGAACATCTGGATTTTCTGCAGACACAAACAACAACAACAACAAATAAATAAATACAAATCTGGTGTTTTTACAGCCCATTTTACCAACGGTCTACAATCGTTTCACCATTATTATTACCTCCGTTCATTAGGCCATGAGACCAGTTTTGGGCTGCAGTTCGAGATCAGCGCAATCTGTTCTCTATTTATACCCATTTATACTCCTGGGTGGAGAGTGGCAATTGTAGTAAAGTGTCTTGCCCAAGAACACAAGCACCATGCATTATCGCACATGAGTCAAAGAGGCCATTTTTCAGCAGCAGTTTTGAGATCAGCGCAATCTGGTCTGTTCCCTCACAGGTACCCATTTATACTCCCGGACAGAGAGAGGTAATTGTAGTAAAGTGTCTTGCTCAAGAACACAACTCTCATGGCATGAAAAATGCAAGCAAGGTATTTTTTTCGACAGGGCAATGTATACTCAATACACGGCTCCATCACACACTTAATAGTGATTGAATGCGGTAGATGCTGCTATATTAGATTCGAACCAGCCAACCGATCCCGCAAGCTCGGTGGTCGAGTGGTAAGACATCTGCACTAGTAAGCAGGGGGCCGTGGGTTCGAGTCCCACCTGAGTACTAGCGAAGTTTCACAAGCCCTTGGGCAACACTACAGAGTGCAGTGTTTTTTAAAATAACGTGTTTACGTCCCACCCCGGCAAAAACCTTTAAAAAAAATTGACCAAAAAGAAAATCTGTTTTGAACCTGTTGGTGTAGGTAGCTGTTGAACAGAAGAAGAAAACAGTATCGCTCCAAGTATTTGAACATCCTCTGCAGAAAGAACTGCTTGGCACTTCCACCCTGAATTTAAAAAAAAAAAAGGCCAGAGAAAGAGCGAGTCATTGAAAAATCAATTAATTATTAATCAGTATTCATAAATACCTCTGACAGTTTACCCATTCCTATTGGTCGAGAGCCCGTCACGTGGCCGGTCTTAAACGGATGATAAAGACATGGCTGGCTGGTCTTAAAAACACTTTTCCAGTGTCACATGAAATTTGGACTCCTATGAAATCCGGTGCCTTTTACCATTTTATTGGTTGGACGTTCACAATCCTCACATAGGCATGCGTAAGACTACCAGTCAGTCAGTATTTCATAGTCCTCAATTCACAACGCACTCACCACAGCTGCATCTGAGCGTCATCGCGCAGTACGAGCGACGCGCGCGCCAATCTCCATAAAAGGAGTTGTTTACATTTTATTATATAGCTAAAGGGTATTTCGAAAAAACATAGTAAAATTGTTGAACAAAATGGTTGGAAAAATTTCAATTTTTGACTTGTTTTGATTATATTGGACCGAAAAGTTTTGATTTTTTTGACCGAAAAGGTATTTATGAATGGGAATAAATATGTCCTTGGTTGGTATTAAATACTATGTTTAAGACTGGTTGGAGGCTGAATGCTGATAATTACCCAGCATTCCAGACTCCAACCAGTCTTAAACATAGTGTTGAACACCTCCCAATCACACATTTATTCCCTTATCATTAATTATTGTTGTTAATTAATTAATCACCCGAAAGTCACTGGAAACTGGCTTTGGAGATACTTTTAATTTGGGGGGGGGGGGATGGAGGGAAAATCTTTTTTGGACAAAAAACTACAGATCATTTTGTCTTTGAGAAAGACTCTGCTAAAATAGAAACATGTCAAAGTTTTACAGGCTGCGATTCTTTAAGCAGATTATGTAGATAAATATAATGTCAAGTTACTGAAGCTCTGGGTTTGACACTGGATTCCTCCGACTCAGAACCTGCGATGGACTTGTGAGGAATTGCAATGATCTTGTACGGACTTACCGCAATTTCATAGTCCTCTTTTATTGCCTCCATCTTCTTCTTGCTCTCGTAGATGTCTCTCCGGATATTGCTCATTTCGTCACTTAGATTGATTAAAACGTCCACCTGAGATGACAAACAAAACCACACCATGAATTAACAACGCAGGCTTCAATTTTAATTCCTTAATGGATGTTATTAGAATTAAAAATGTACGCCGATCGTTCTTCTGACCTTCAACAAAACATGCATTCATTACTTTGTTGCCATTTCCGCATGATTTATGTATGAAAGGAAATCCTCTATAATCTCGCTCTAAAATTCTACTCTTTTCACCGTATACTTATCATTACTGCTGCTTTATTCAATATGCATGAGGAAGAAAATGTTATCATACATCTTTAAAGAACGCCACTCCAATAAGTTTGCAACTCTACCACCACGACAAGCTTAGAGATGTACTGTTCGTGCTCTTCAAACAAATTCACTTTGTTTTCCTCTTAGCTAAAAAACGGCATATACAGGGTTAAGGCATTGCATTTTTTATAAATACACAGAAGAGGAGTGTCATGGCCTAGCAGTTAAGAACACCAGACTCATGCTCTGGTGTTTCAGAGGCAACAGTGGCGTGGGTTCGAGCCCGCCGGGTGGACACTTGTGCCCTTGAGCAAGGCACTTAACCATTATTGCTTCGTCTTTCGGATGGGACGTAAAGCCGTACATGTAGGTCCCGTGTGTTGGGTAATCCAATGCACGTAAAAGAACCCAGTGACACTTATCGCTAAGCGAAGGGGTTTTCCCCGGTGTTTTTGGTCTCCTGTATAAACTCCCACACGGAGTATTTAGGAGATGAACCAACCAAGAACCAGGAATAAAGGCATCTGAGCCAGTGTCACTTTAATCTCTCATTGTAATATCATGATGTTTTCTCCCAAACAATACCATTAATCTCATTATCACGAATTATTCAGTTTAAAGCGCCTACTTATCAAAATAATCCTGTCCAGCCCTAAAATATAAACTACCTGACATACTTAACATAAATTTTTGATTTACAAGCATCTACTTTAAGTTATTGAATTTTGCATTGGATACAGTGAATGCATTTTAAAGAACAGCATTTTTTTTATCAATTTTACTGGCAAAACATTTTTAAAATTAAAGCCAGAGTCCATCATTCGCAGCTATCCAAAAAGTAACTGGCGTAATTATTGTTGAAAAACATACTTGGTTGAAAGATAGTAAGGGGACTAAACTCCCTGTGAAATTATTCTTTCTGGCAAGCTGTCATTTTGAAGAAATCAGCAAAAGAAGGCCTTTCCAACGGTGCTTCTTAAGACGCACCGTAGGAAATTTAAATTAGTAGTTCGTTTTGTTATTCAGCGAAGCGCGCGCAAGCTTGGCACGACGCACACGCAGTTGCTATAATTCGTCGGATCAGTGTGTGACATCGCGTAGCTGCAATCGGCTCAGTGAGAACGTGTCTCGGACGCTGAATTCAGGCCCAATTTAAAACATGATTCAGCAACTTTTGATTTGAAATCGAGATCCTAGAATGTTGTTTTTCTTGAAATATACAGCTGAAGCTGAGCTGAAACTTCATCAGGTTAGTTGTTCAGCACCCTTCTTTAGATTTTGAGCACTTTTGTTGCTTCAAACGAACCAAATGCGGAAATTACAAATGATGGACTATACTTTTAATAAGCACAATCTCTTGTTTACGCACGGAAACCATAGATAGTTCATTTTCTCCACAACACAATCCAACAACAGGTGAACAACAGTGGTCACCCCTCCAAGGACCACATTCAAGAAATAACGGAGGATTTTTCAGGATTGAAGCTGTATGCTATTTTTACATGGAGGCCGTTGGAGGATTTTGCAGGATTGAGGTTGCATCCTAGCAAAAATGCCCAGGGAGTTAGGTTAAAGGTGGATCAGGCGCATTATAAATTTTCTATGTAATTATCATTATTATTATAAGTTGCTATATAAACATATAACGTTGCTGAATACATGTAACATACTAGTACGGTTGCTATGCAACAAAGTACAACCGTTGCTAGGCTCGCTAAATTCCTGCCAACATTCATTAACGAAATGACGTGTTAACTCTCGGTAGATGACGAAAGTCTGAAAAGCACTTTTCGTCGTCACTTGTTTTCAGGGCAAAAAAAAATGTTCGCGAATGTGACAAACCGCACAAGCCCACGACAGCAAAAAATGTAGAGTAACAAAACGTAAACTGATTTCTTGAATGATTTTTGAAGAGGGGTTTGAGTTCAAGAATATTTTTAACTTTACAATTAGAAAAATTTGAAGGGGTTTTAGCCTTTGTGATATCACAGCCACAGACTTCAAACTGGCATAATGTTGCAAAGGAGACGTCTGTCTACAAAAATTAAAGTGTCATTGTAAAGAAGGAAGAACTCCACTTAAAGGGAATGTACAACATTTGCTTAAACCAAATATTGTTACGCTGACTTGTTTCACGTTTTGGGTTCGTAGATGCTGGAAAAAACCAAGAAAACCAATTATATTCTTGTAGCCTGGTTCCCTGACCCCACTTAAGATGAAACGGAGCAAATTATAGACTTTCGGGAATTGTAAGATCAGAGAATCAGTCTAGCAGGCTTGTCGTCTTCACAAGTGTTTAATCAGTTGCAAAGAAAATGCAGACGAACTAAATATGAATATTTAGGACCAATTTTTTAGGAAAAAAAGCCAGTTTTCTCCAATGCTGGTCGGCCGACCAGTGTTGGAAAAATACAGTTTTTCTTGAAAATGTGAGCACACCAGGAGCCACAACTTTGCAGGATGCTTTAGACTGTTATTCCCTAACAATCCAGTAAGATATTTCGTGATAATTTGATCATTTCATTTTTTTTGATGTTTGCAAATGTTGTATCTTCCCTTTAAAGTTTATCTAAACAAATCCCGGCTTCTTGAACAGGTTCCAAGAAAACATCATACATTTATAGTCATGTTTCAATTCATGTCATCTACATATATCTTCCATTCATACGAAAGCTGATCACGTCTTTAAATGATTCCTCCGTATTTCGGTTGCTGATTTTTCCATGAAACCCAGATCTAAAACCACTTAACCAATTAGCATCTGTATTACGTTGTATTTTAGATTGTATTTGATCCCTGATGAATTCGTACAGAAACAATGTATGGGGTGAGTATACAAAAAATGTCCCCTTGGATGTTTCCTCCTCTCCCACAAAAACGGGACAGGTTACAAGTTTTTCTCTTTAGCCAACATCCGATCTGGGTATTGACCACATCATTAAAGCTATAGTCCATCATTTGCAGCTATCCAAAAAGTAACTGGCGTAATTATTGTTGAAAAACATACTTGGTTGAAAGATAGTAAGGGGACTAAACTCCCTGTAAAAAATTATCCTTTCTGGCAAGCTCTCATTTTGAAGTAATCAACAAAAGAAGGCCTTTCCAACGGCGCTTCTTAAGACGCACCGTAGGAAACTTAAATTAGTAGTTCGTTTTGTTATTCGGCGAAGCGCGCGCAAGCATTGGCACAACGCACGCGCAGGTCGCGTAGCTGCAATCGGCTCAGTGAGAACGTGTCTCGTCAGACGCTGAATTCAGGCCCAATTCAAAACATGATTCAGCAACTTTTGATTTGAAATTGAGATCCTAGAATGCTGTTTTTCTCAGAATATACAGCTGAAGCTGAGCTGAAACTTCATCAGGTTAGTTGTTCAGCACCCTTCTTTAGATTTTGAGCACTTTTGTTGCTTCAAACAAACAAAACGCACAAATGATGGACTGTGCCTTTGAGAACAAAATGTAAAACATGAAATTTTCTAAAATCTGGCCGAATGCACACCTTTAAATCAGACTCTGAGAGAGTGGCTAGAGTTCACGGTTATCGGACCATCGGCGATTCCTCACTCCCTAGGGAACCGAGGTGGGCGATGCTACAATTATCGCACTCAAGGCTTTATCAAAATCTCACTCAGAAGGCGACGCTTCCCTGTAAAATTACGACAGTGCATTACACACCAGGCATTGAAGAAATGCCTTAATTATGCGCAGATTTTGATGACATCTGCGGCCCGAGGAAGCAACCTAATTGCTTAATTTAATCAGCGCTTATCTCGGCACGAGTAGGGCAGCCACATTTTGCCCGGAGCAAAACACAAACGCTGATTAATTTGTTCTCCCCGTGATTTTCAAACAAATCAAAGCTGATTGAATACAGACAGCGTGATTTCTACTATTTTTGACATCTGCAACCCTTTTAAAAAAAAAATTAAATTCATTTGTAGGTTATTTTTTCATCTTTTAAATAAATTAATGCACAAAAGATCAACCTGAATTTTTTTATCAGACCAGGAATAATTTAAAAATCTGTAAATTTATTAAATATTATATCAAGTAACCCTCCTTTTGTTTGATCAGTCACAGACAGTCAAAAATTCAATCCTGTTCCCCTGCCATGCCTTTTACACAGGCTAGTCACCAACAGTCAGATCATATTTCTTGTCGGCACTGTGACAGTCAAATTCTTTCAACAGACAAAAGCAGGTGACTGGTAGGCACAGCTGGCTTATCAATCACCCACAGTCAAAGCAAAGCTATATCAGGTTTCATAACAATCACAGCCAGTCAATCATACTTTATGAAGGCAGGGAGCACTCAACTGTTAAAAACAGTCACTTGATTTATTTTGACAGCTGGGCTGGCCTTGTTGAAATTGCCAGCCAGAGGGGGAGGGTTTTAATAAACATGAGCGGACATTTTCTTCCAAAGGCTAATTCAAAACTCATAGGTGAATAAGTTTTTCTATTTTTTGTGTAAAAATAGCAATTAAAACTAAAATCAATTCTTTGGACAGAAACATACTACAGACAGTAATAGCCAAAATTGTCTCAAGTCATCTGAAACCCCTATCCAAAGATTACTGTCACCAAGTTTGGTTGAGAGTGAAGTCTGTACGGCTTTTGTACGGCTATTTGCATATCTGCGTTTGTATTCCATACCGGTGCGTCATCGAAGCCGATACACCCCAAACCGAAACACACGATCAGCAAATGAGCGTTTCATTTTGCTCTACGCAAACGGCGCAACGTGTGCGCGTCCCTCCGCTGCAGATGCTTTTCGCCGCGACGTTTTTTTGAACCGTCTGGACGCGCTTAAGTTGTTTGCGTATCTTCTACTTGCGCGTTGCATTTAGAGTAAACATTTAAAATTCAATTCTATTTATTTTGATTGTGTTCTACAAACACACACATAAATTCAAAATGTCTGCACCCAAAGCGTCTCCACGAGCAAGAATGAGGAGTTAGCGCTCTAGTAATTTAATATAGCTCTATGGTTGAGATTGAAGTCCGACTTTTCATATGACAGCACTAAACAGTTAACTTAACCAAAATGGAACACACGGACACACAGACAGAAGGAATAAACTATCGCAAGGTCCCCCTTTCTCAGCTTAAAAGCCAGGGGGATAAAACAAAAAAAAATCAGAAAGATGTTTTTTCCATACCTCTTGTTTGACTTGTATGCCGTCCGGTAACGCCCTGCACAGCTGCTGAACAACTGGAAACTCGGCCTTCTCCAGATTGGGATTCTCCTGGCTGAAGGGCTTGGTGTCCTCACTGTAAAATGGACGACAAAAGGACACAAGATGTCACATGATATATATGGATACAACTTGGCTCTGTCCGAGTACAGTAGGTATTGCAGAATTAGAAATGTGTAACGGTGAAACGACGAATTTTATTTTTTTTACAAACGACTCATTCATCTATCCTATTTTTAATTTTTAAAGTAAGAGTGGGCCATTTGCAGCTATCCAAAAAATAACCGACCAAATTATTGTGAAAAAAGCCTTCTTGGTTTAAAGATAGTAATGACACTAAACTCCCTGTGAAATTATTCCTTCTAGCATGCTGTCATTATGAAGAAAACACTAAAATAAGGTCGTTTCCGAAGATGTGTCAAGTGACACATTTTTGGAAATTTCTGTTTGTTGTTGGGCGAATCCGTGAATGGGTGCAAGCGTTGACATGAAATACACGCGCGCTTACGTTTAGGGGAGAATGCAGAATTAAAACAGGTGGTAGCTCGAGGTTTACCTTGAATACATGTAATATGGTTTGGTTCGCGTGGATAGTATTAAAATAATGAATGTTTATGAGTACAATGGTAAGAATAATTTCATGAGGTGACAGATGGACTGTTCCATTGCATGAGGCGAAAGCCGAATGGAATGGAACCTTCCATCTGTCACCGAATGAAAGATGGGGATTTATTCAGGCGTTGTATACTCGATTTTAGCTGCCTCGGTATTGGAAGCTGACAAACGGACCTAATATCGACTATCCCCCTAAGACCATGTAACATTTGTTTATTTGAGTACGAGTACAAGTACTACAACACTATGACTTACTAGGCCTCCTCTGGAAAGCCATGTTTATGTCCCAGGACCAACATGCCAAGGACCATGGCAAAAGTCGTCCGGCTAGCTCCCATGTGACCCACGAAGACCAAGCCTGGTGTGGAGGTGTCTTGATGGTCGAAGAGAGTTGGTACATCCTGAGAAAAACGAACAGACGAGGCGAGCCTAGCAAAGCTGGTCCCAGAGTGCAAGTCATTTTATTCCACTGATTCAGAACGGTGATTCACTGGAAGTCTGTTCATGGGCAATTCCACGGTTACTCACGTTACATTTTTTGATGTACTTTTGAGTTTCCTTGGGCTGTAATTACCTTACTGAAAAAGTTTAATAACTGGTATCCCCATGGTAGATAGAGTAGACCTAGACCTACCTAAGCATCAAAGATGACATCCAGAAAAATGTGTTATGTGTGATAAACAAGACGCACAAAATCGGTTACTCACGTTACATTTTCGTAATGTGAGTAACCGTGGAATTGCCCTCATGCATCATGGTCTACACAATGGGCAAAATTTAGACCTTTCACTGGTATTATGGGGGAATCCAATACAACAGCACTGCCCGACTCGGTAGCGACAGTCCGGCAGTTCCACTGCACGGTGTCGGACGTACATGTACACTTTTGGCAATTCAACAATGTGCATATAATTATACTTACAATCATAAAGTGGATTTTAAATCTGATCAAACATGTCAGTACAATGATTGAAAAAAACTTTTTCAAACCAACTTTTTTGGCTGTGGTAGGAATCGGCTCGAAACACCATGGTGTCCGGACGTACTTGGACAAATTGATTTTTTTTTTGCTGCTCATTAATTAATTTTTCAGTTACAAGTAACAGCTGAACTGTTGAACACTGTAAGAAATAAACTAGGTTTCAATAAAACACAGATGATAAGCTTCACAATGATGTGTATGTTTTATTTGTTTCAACATTTTGCTGTATATGACATAAAACTGCAACGGTATTGAACAAATTTTGAAAACTCGTACAGCCTATTTCACACACTAAAACACGTCAAAATGTTAACCCTCAAAGATTAAAAAAACAAAAAAAAACCAAGAAATATAAACTAGAGAGTAATGAAGAACACAAACGAAATTACCTTCAATACATTGAAGAACGTATCGATGACTTGTTCGTCTGGTGCCCCGTTCGACCTCATAGGCATGCGCAGGTATCGGGCATTAGTCTGGGAGACGGTGTGAATGGCGTACATCTCTTGGATCGTCTTGAGATGCTCCTCGTAGACGATGTAGTATTTGTGGGGCTCGTCCACAAACTGGTCGATGTCCTCGTAGAACCAGAACTCGTTCTCTTCGTTGCGGAGGGCGTTCCGAAGAATCTGGAGAATTCATTGAAAAAAGAATGTGACGGACTTGTGATGACTTGTGATTGACTTGTGATGACTTGTGATTGACTTGTGATGAGTTGTGATTGCCTTGTGATGGCTTGTGGTTGACTTGTGATGGCGAGTGAATGACATGTGATGACTGTTGATGACTTGTGATGGCTTGTGATTGACTTGTGATGCTTGTGATTGACTTGTGATGTCTTGTGATGACTTGTGGTTGACTTGTGATGGCTTGTGAATGACTTGTGATTGACTTGTGAATGACTTGTGATTGACTTGGGATTGGCTTGTGAAAGACTTGTGATTGACCTGTGATGAATTGTGATTGACTTGTGATGTCTTATGATGACTTGTGAATGACTTGTGATGGCTTGTGCTGACTTGTGATGACTTGTGAATGACTTGTGATTGACTTGTGATGGCTTGTGATTGACTTGTGACGACTTGTGATGACTCGTGATGACTTGTGATGACTTGTGATGCCTTCTGATGACTTCTTACTGACTTGATAAAACTCTGATTTGTACAAATAAAGCGTACTTCAAAATAGATCATACATAATATTGTTCATATACTGGAATTCAGGTAGGGGCAGTGGTTGAGGGTCGGGTGATGGGTGAATGGGGGTCGGGGAGTGAGGGTCGGGGTGGGGAGTTAGGGTGGGGGTATGGGGGTGGGGGTAGACCCACCTCTTTCCGCATAGCAACTTCATTGTTACTGATATCTAGCGACGTGGCCAGTCTGGTGTAGATGTTTTCGCACAGCTTTTCCCGCGCTCTCGGCGTGTATGACACAAAGTCTTCGTTTTTCTTAAGGAAAAGGACGGGCTCCTCTCGTATGCAGCACACAATGAGTTCCTTTTGGAGACAAACATTACAATTTCATTACTTGGACTTATAAATAACAAAAACCCATTATTAATTGTCTTGTTAACTGTAAGGCAAATAAACTGGTTTAAATTAGGGTACATACAAGTCTTTGGGAATTTTAAAAGTATACAAACAGTGGAGAATATACCGTAGAGAGACTACCAGACGTGTGTGGAATTACTTAATTTGCGTCAAATATGTTGGACAAAACTCGTTTTGAATCAGAATTTTATAACTTATATCTAAAGATACGACTATATAACTAAAAAATAAATTTGATTAAAATAAATCTGATTTAAATTAAAACAATCTGATTTTCAATTTTCTTTTTCAATAATCATGAAAAAAATTCTAATCAATATAATTTAAATTATTTTCTAATTGAAAAAAAAAAAATCCATGAATTTTAAAAACCTTGCCCAATACTTACTGAACATCCTTCTTGACCAAGTGTATCCATGACCTTGGCCAGGCCCAGGCCTGTCGGCTGACCCATGCCGAACACTGCGAAACCGCCGCCTGCTCGCCTGAAGTTGGGGGCGCCGTGTTTTTCCGTCGTTTTCATCTTATCGATGCCCTTGAATTGATCGGCCACCATGAAGTATTTACCCTGAGTAAAACAGACGAACAAAACGTGTGACGGACATTTATGCGATTTTGCAGTTATAGCACAACCTGAACAGAACTAAGCAATTCCACGCGAAGGTGGACACAGCTGAAAAGTGGAAAATCCATAAAAACGACTTCATCCCCACTTGCCTCTCTCCACCCAGGAGTATAAATGGGTACCGGCATTAGCTGGGGAGTAACCTGCGATGGACTAGCATCCCATTCAGGGGGAATAGAAATTATTCTCAGTCGTTTCATGCTACTGAAACCGGAGATAAACGCCGGCCTGATTGGGCACATTGGCTCGTGACAGACTTTACTACATGCAAAAGTTAGCGAAATTCAGATCTAGAGGCATTTTCAATGAAGTTAATTGGTAAATTTCCTCAGAAGTTCATTTGGGAAATTGTAACAACAAATTTCCTGATGTTTATAAATTTCCAAGGCCCAAAAAATTCAGAATTGATAATAGTGGCGTGCATACGAAGTACGGGAATCGGGTACTCGATTAAAAAAACCCACGGGTATCTGGGTATCCGTTAAAGAAACCAACCACTACACCAACCGGCAGTATCCTGATGACGAGCAGAGCACATTGTTTGAAACGTTGAGTTAAACCAACTGGTTCTTCTCAGAGCCACACAACTCAACAAAAGATATCATTCACAACAAACCTCCCATTCATTTCTCTTTCTTTGTTTCATATTTTTTTAAAAATAATACGCAATTGGGCGATTCCACACAAATGGGCCAATTAAAAAAGTTTACGGATGTTGAATATAAAGGGTACAAACAGATGAGCTAGCCTTTTTTTAAAGTTTTTCCTATACCTTGCTAAAGTTGAAAGTGACTCGGACAAGAAAATACAAGAGATGATATAGGCCCTATCTTCTTTTATTTGAGAAAATAACAGGTCTTTTTGTCTGTGTTATACGTATGTAACATGGACAGACACACTGCAAAAAAAAGGGTGCTTAGGACAAATTCAGTTTCTAATAGGCACTTTCGTTTGACATTATCAACCCGTTTACAATGCTATCGAGCAAAAATATATAAGTTTTTGCACTGGCTTCAAAGTTAGGATGTGATTAGGGTTATGTGCGAACAGGGACAGACATTTTGTGACAAATGTCTAGTGTATTCGTACGTAAAATCCTGATCATAAAATATCAAATAATTCTTCACATTGACTCTGAGTTTGCTAGGTTTTGAATGACGGCATTCCCCCAGGGTACATCTTCTTAAATCAGACAAAATTAGGGTGTCATTCAATGTTATGCTTACTTTGTGACTTTATCTAAAATGTCTGTCCTTCATTACATACGTAACACTTTTTAAAACAATATCCACCATATTTTCAAAAGTACAAAACCTTTTATACTTTGCAGGTGAGGATATTTGTTCAAAGCTTGCAATGTCTACAGCAAAAACTGAGAGACCAAGATCCTAGTTTTATCATCAAAATTCAAAAGGTCTTCTCAAATGTCACACTTTTGGGCCAACTTTAGGGAATTGGCAACCTTGTAAGACTCACCTGAACGAGCACGTGTTCCGGGAGCCCGTCTCTTATACTCCCCATGGTCACCTCCTGTTTCTCGGCGAGTAGCGTGCACTGGAATTCCTCGAAGCAATCCTTGGTGATGATAATCGGCGCGACTTCGTTGCAGACCACATTGTGGCCTTTCCACTTGCCCCCGCCTTCGATTCCGAACGAATTCTTGCGGTTGTTGCGCATCATCTCGGGGGAGGGAGAGCGGGACGACGCGCTGCTCGCACCGGTCCCCATCCTTGCGGTTTGCACCACGCACTGACCTATAGTGAATGCGTTCCGGACTTCTTATATATATACTGTCCCGATCGGTAGACATGCACATTGGATTATGCTATCAGCTTACATGCGTTAATCCCACCTGCAAATACGACAAGATTAAAAAAAAAAAAAAAAAATTAAGATAAAAAAAGATTTAAGATTAAAAAATAAAAAATTCAGATTAAAAAATAAACTCAATTAAAGATTCACGAAGTACATGGGACAAACCCTTCCTTGAATTATACATTTGCGTGTATTTGGAGTTAATGCACTTATACATCATGCATATATGTTTGCAAAGCCTTTATAAATGGTTTTGAAAAAAAAAATTGACTGCGGAATTTATAGTGGTTAATTAGCATTCATGTGCATTCTGAGAATATTGTGGGCTGGAAATTTTAAGTCTTTTTCTTAATTTTGTTCTTGTGTCTTTGATATTAAATGTCTTTAGTAATGAACATTGTGAGTCCATCATTGGAGCGTGGTAGCCTAAAGAAAGAAATAAAAAAAAATCCTAAGATCTTTTCTGACAATTTCAAATTTCAGAATTTTTTTTCTCCAAACATTAGGGCGTCTTAAACCCGAGTAGTGAGTCAACGACTCGACCTGAGGACGACTCGAATCACAATTTTTGGTGACTAACTTGACTTGAGTCATCAGAGACAAATGACTAGACTTGACACAAGTCACTTCTCAACTCAACGATCTTAGCGAAAGACTCGACTCGAATTGAGTAAAAGGCTCATCGACACGCAAGTTCTTTTAAAAAAAAAAATGGAAAATGTACTTCACACCTCAAACCCATTGCAAAACGAATTAGACGTCACAATACAAAAACAATGCTGCGAAGTTTCGCTGGAGTTCAAATGCGTCAAACTCCTGCGGTTCTGCAGCGCGAAACACTTCATTTGCATTCACCTTCGCACCGAGTGTATAAAGCGTCCTTTAACATGGCTGGACACACGTCGACTGGAGTTTACACAAAATTTAATAGCGATTTGTTAGAATACTGTTTAAACAGAACTAAACCGCATTTCCTTGCAGAAGATATTGTTTTTAACCGAAGGCACAACTTCTTTTGAACTCGTATTGTTGCTACATTGTACCAGCTGCTGTTTTCAGCATACATGTACAATCAAATATTGACTTTTTAGAGTGATTTAAAAAACAAACGGGAAAAAAAACCTGGCATTCTCGCAACTCATCATCACGCCTGGCTACATTCTCACTTGAAAAGGGCAAACCAACAACATATCCAGCCATTTGACAACAAATGACAACTTCGTTTGCTATTACGAGTCTCTCGGCCGTCACCACGGCAACCGTGGCATAACCTTAATGGGCCAGACTACAGGTTGATGCGTGGCACACACTGCCGACTGCGGCGTTAGAGCAGCCAAAAACGGTGGAGGTTGTGTCCAGCAACGGAGTCAGAATTCGATTTACTCAAAGACTGAATCAAAGGTTGCTAAAATCAAAGTGCACAACTTTTCAAAATCTGACGATAAAGATTATACCGAATGTTATATTTCATTAGTATTTTTAATATTAAGATGCAAAATATTTCAAATTGAAAAACAAAATCTTTTGATACAAATTGGTTGGCTGATACCTAAATTGAAGTCTTTAACCTGTTTAGGATTAAACCCAATGCTATATTTTTCAATGGTCTTTTAATATTTTGATGCAAAATGTTTTCATTTGAAAAGCAAAAAAAAAATTGATAAAAAAAATATATTTTTGGTGATACTACAATGTAAGTCTTTAACACTAACCGTTCCAAATCCTACAAAATCCTCTTTGCAAAATGGAGGATTTTGCAGGAATGAGGCTATACGGCAAAAATGTGTGGCTGATTTTGGAGGATGCACTGTGTCAAGGTCTTGGGCCGGACCTCGTGTTGTTTATGCTTAGTCAGTCATACAAATGTAGCATAGATTTAGGCCTAGATTACATCCTCCGCACTGCTCCAGGATGTCACTAGCTCTGCCTCAACATATTGCTGGAGGATTTTGCATGCAGGATTGAGGCAGTGGTCACCCCTCCAAGGACCACATTCAAGAAATAACGGAGGATTTTGCAGAATTGAGGTTGTATGCAATTTTGACACGGCGGCAGTTGGAGGATTTTGCAGGATTGAGGTTGCATCCCAGCAAAAATGCCTAGGGAGTCTGAGTTAACCAGTTTCAAAAGAAACTTAAAAAAACCCAAGTATACAACAGTGGTTTAAAATGAAAATCAAGATTTCCCTGCAAGTTTTTGCGTGTTACTGGTTAATTAAAAAAACAATCCAACAAGTTAATTTAACAGAATACTCCTTAAGTAACGACTTCAAGTATAAAAAACGACAGACAAAAATAAACTTCAATGTTTCAAAATAAAATAAAATTTCAGTAAACACAATTTTTTTGGCCTACAATGAATGAGTACTGTGTAATTATGATTAGGCAAAAAAAATAAATAATAGTTCTGCTTCCGATTACATGGCATTTGAAAATTGGGTAGGTAGGTAGGGAATTTTAATTGTTTGCCAATTTTTTTGTGTACAATCATATGGAGGCATCTGCGTCTAATCAAGGGTAAAAGGTAGAAATTGATGGTTTTGGGTGTTTTTTCCCCATTATTTTTCCCATAAAAACTTAGGGTAGGGGCTGTCAGAATAGGGTAGGTAGAGAAACCGGAAGCAGAACTTTTTTTGGGGGGGGGGGGCCTTATTCTCTACCTGAGCAAAGGCCAAAAAGACTCCTTTTTATGTATTTTCTTCAGTAGAGTTATCTGAACATGCGATAATGAACTTACGTTGATACCCCCAACGGAACTCTTGCATGTACGAACAAACAAAAAAATCGTTAGACAGGAATACGCGTTACACAACTCACGGGAAATTATAATCACGGTGACTGGTCAATGGCCTACGCACTTTCCGAGTCACACAATGGTTTCTGAAACGTTGTCTGCTAGCGAGCTTCACCTAAGTCCAATCCATTCATTCCTTTCAATCATGTTAGAAATACGTACTTTTTTTTAAAGGAAAGTCAACCATTGCGGCTTTTCAATATGACATGGAAAAAAAAAATTGTGAATAGATTATTAAATTGCCGAGCCATTGAATACTGATTCTGACTTGCATTCAATTCTGACTTGCGTTCAATCCGGCATTCAACTCTTTAAACATGTAAAAAAAAAATCTGTACTTTTTTTTGTTTAAAGGAAAGTCAAACACTCTGGGCTTTTAAAAAGAGTATTTATAAAAAAAAAAATTAGAAATGAAATTATGATTTCATTTCCTGTCCATTAAAAATACGGCTTACGTCAAAAATGGGAAATTTGCAGATAATGTTGGGGCTATTATTTGATTTTACGGACATTTTCTTTGAAGACAGTGAAATAATGGCTTTCGACAATTAACAGTAAGTGGGAGCATTACATGTAGGTCCATATCGCCAATTTCTGAAAGCGAATTCCACGTCAAAATAAACTCTCACTAATGGTATTAAAAACCAGGGCAGTTCAACGGTGGCGGACATGCATTTTGTACAATTTGACAGTTTGCATAATAACTTCATGGAGTGGATTAAAATTCTGATAAAAACATCAGTTCTGATAAAACATCGGGGGAGTCAGGATGGTGTAGCAGTTCTTCCCTCGCCTTCTACCGCTGTGACCCGGGTTCGAATCCCGCCTGGGCCACATTGGGTTTTCAGACCCTGCCTGATTCCGTGGGTTTCCCCCAAGAATATCATTCTGGGGTTTTCCTCCCATACACCTCTAAAACTGTAATTTCTTCTCATTGTCGTCTCTCTACAGGTTTCTTCAGGCTTGCGAGCTACAGTACCTAGGGCACTTTTGAGAAAAACTTGGTTTCATTAAAACCAATGAAATGATTAATAATAATTATAATAATAATAGACCTTTCAAGGGTATTTTGGTGCTCTTTTGTTTTTATGCTAATGAGAATTTCCATATTCATGAGCAAAAGTGTGACGTCATCAGGCAGAAACCTCAATGTTACAGCTTTTTCAGCATGAACATTTGTCACAATTTGGGATATTTTGCTATCGTTAATTTTCTTTTCTTTGGTGATTCGTTGTTGTGTCAGTACATGGCAGTAAGCCAATGAGCAAATTTTTCCCACGAATGTTTTCAATGAGCAACTTTTGGGTCCACAATTTGAGCAGAAAAACCCCTAAACTGAACAGTGTCTTCCTGAAATGACATCACAGCAACATCGCCCTCATTTGTCAAGAAAAGCATGGACAATTTGAAATCTTTAATAAAGAAGTGCACTTTGCAATAAACTTAACCAAAAAGAGATGCCAAATGCCGGTAGTTTTCATACAAATAAGAAGAGTAGAAAGTTGCACAAAAAATGAGCCCAAGTAAAATTCACATCATGAGCCCTTTAAACAGTACGTGGTCATGTGTACACATCTCTTTTTGTACATGGCACATATGTAGACCTTCCTGCTATTTAAACAGTCACAGACAGTCAAACTTTCCATCCACTTCCCCTGCTATACTTTTAACACAGGATAGTCACCAGCAGTCAGATCATATGTCAAGCAAGCACTGTGACTAGTCAAACTCAGTCAACAGACCACGAACAGAAAAAGCAGGCGAGTTGTGGGCACAACTGGCTTATCAATGACCCGCAGCCAAAGCAAAGCTGTAACGAGTTACATGAACAGTCACGGCCAGTCAATCCTGCTTCATGTAGGCTGGGAGCTCTTAACTGTTAAAAACAGTCACTTCACTGATTTTGACTGAAAGGACTACTTAGCACTGGTTGAAAGGAAACCAACCTAAAGTCTTACCGTTCCCGAGAAAAGACGAAAATACCCGCTTGTTTACATCGGATATGACGGAGTACGAATACATTTTTCATGTCGTTCTCACACACGTTGTGCGTCTCGGGAACAGCGGTGACCAATCACCAATGTCAAAAAGTGGTTTCTTCAACATCCGCAAAAGGTGAA